GTCCAGAAAGATTGAGAGGCGAATTGGATTCGCTTCTGGAAGTTCTATGGGTTGAAATAGGGGGGCCAAAAGGAAACTTAACACTGGGAGTTTGTTATCGCCCACCAGATCAAAAGATAGAGGAGGATTATAAAATGATGAATGAATTAAAGAAAGCAGCTAGACAAAAACACTGTGTTGTAATAGGTGGTTTTAACCTATTTTAACTACCCGCACATTGATTGGGACAATATGTGTTCTAGTCGAGAAAAAGAGATTGAGTTTCTAGATACTCTAAATGACTGTGCTATGGAGCCCAATCCTATCAGATCTCGGAAGCTAAGCAGGGTCAGCCCTGGTTGGTACTTGGATGGGAGCAGGGGTCATTTCGTAGAAAAAGAGGTGCAGGAGCTCATTAGCATAACTGATTTGCATATGCCACACCCCCTGACATCACCAGAAGTGTGTCAGAAGGCAACATCCACCGCTCAGGCTCCACTCGACTGTTTTGGATTGCTAGCTATTGAGGGAGGGGACGTGCAGATCTGTCCTGGCAGAGGAGGGAGAGCTTGTACCTGAATAAAACTTGGTCTTAAAGGTGCCACTGGACTGTTTTGGATTGCTAGCTATGGGGGGAAGGGGAACACTCAGATCTGCCCTCACAGAGGAGGGAGAGCTTGTACCTGAAGGCGGGCCGGGGGGGGGACTCTGCAGCTTACCTGGCTGCTTCTTGCTCCCCATGGCCCAACTGAGGGCTGCTGGGAGCAGGGGGCGGGGCTTGTTGCATGTGCCCGCCCCCTGGGCTTCTTACTGCCGGAGCTCCTCTCCTGTGCACTCCCGCAGGAAATGACCCCTGAATGGGAGACCTCCAAGAAATACCAGGGTTGTGATGCAGAGGCAGGCAATAGCAAGCCCCATCTGAACCTCTCTTACCTTGAGAACCCTACAGGGTGACCATAAGTCAGCTGCGACTTGATGGCATTTTTTGCCACCACTACCAGGAGTACTGTGCTTCGCCTTCCAGCAGAGAAATCTGGAGAGCATCGCAGTCACAGACACGTGGGAAAGGAAGAGCTACCAGCAGCCTTTTCCAGGTCCAAACTATGGGTTACATTTTCTAATGAATCTGGTCCAGGGCATTGTTTGCCCCATTTGCATCTCCAAAATGGGACAAATAACACCCCAGGACCATTTGGTTTGGAAAAGTGGCACATTGGAGGGGGTGGGTCAGGACCCCCTCTTCCACTCGCAGATGGTCCTGAGCTGCTATGCAGCTGCAGAGAAAGTGAATTGGATCCTGGGAACCCAAACCTGGCTCGTTAGAAAATGTAATGCATAGCATAGTTTGGCTCCCAATTTGGTGTTACTGCGTCATTCTCTCCTTGGCTGATTCTGCTTAGGAGGTGAGGTTGGGGGTGGGTGGGGGGAGGCTAAAGAGAGAGAGAAAAGCAGAGCGATGACTCTAAAGGCTGGGACAGATGTGGTGCAACAACCAGTTTAAGTGCTTTCCCATGTAAGTGTTCCATACATGCCCAGTGGCATCTACATGCATTTGCCATATGCGTGACATTTATATGTCAGCAGCTGCCTGCCTGAGCGGCTGATTACTGGGATGCTATTGCTAGGCTCAAACAGGCAGCAGCGTGAGGTAAGGATATTTAAATATGACTGCACATGCATGGAATGTTTACACAGGTAAGCACTGAACCTGTAGCCCAAATCACATCTATTCCACCATGGACCCCAGAAGAAGATCTGATTTCTTCCGTTTTGCTTGCCATTCCTAACTATCTCCTTGTGCTGGATGTATTTCAGGAGAAACGCCTGCCGTGGCTGCCTCACTCTCTTTGGTAAATGAAGCACAATATCTCCTGATAAATCAAACAAGTGTTTTACAACTCAGTGATCAGATCACAGCCAGGTAAGGGCTTCCTCTTCTAAAATCTTCTAAAATCACAGTCAAAAAGAGGAGTTTTGAGGGTAGAGAGAAACTATAATGTCTTGCTTATAGTAAACGCACCAGCTAGCCAGACCTTGGGAGTTCTTAATTCTGTGGGTTCTATCTCTGGCTTTGTGTCCAGTTTATGGGATGGGACTTTGGGTTTAGCCATTTTCGATTTAAACCGAATATTTCGGTTTAAACCGAAAATAGCAAGCCCCAAATCTTGCCCACTTTAAAGATGCCGGCCGTTCAACACCGCCTCCATACAAGCAGGCCTTGCAGCACCTCTGGGAGACCTCTGGAGGGTGGGGGGCGCACCTCCTCAGGGAGCCCCCCTCCACAGAGCTGGAGCCCCGATGGAAAAGGCCCGGGGGCTCTGGTCAGTGCCAGATGGGCCACCCTGAGTGGTGGGAGAGCCAAGCGATGGCTGCCTGATGACTGTAGCTCGTGCACAGGGACAGATGGAAGGAGCATTCCCCCATCTTGCTTCAGACCCCCATCCTGGGCTTCAGAGCGATGGGCTGTGCAGCCCCACCTGGAGACTGGGAGGCCTGGCGCGGACCTTGATGGACCAGCGATCTGATTCAGTGCCAGGCAGCTTCAGGCGCACAAAGGGTGTTAAATGCAACAGAGATCTTCCCTTGTGCCAAGTACCCTCAAATTGCAAGTGAGTAAATAGCACGTTTGAGTTAATATTAGCACATTTGTTCTTCTTCTCTGGCTCCGTGGAACAGACTAGGTGAGTCACTTCCCCTCCAGAAGCTCATCCACCGCTTCCGCGCCAACATTGTTATTAGCACAAATGAGCCGTTCGAGGAAGACCAGTGGGACGAGGTGGCAATCAGCAGCCTGCGCTTCAAGGTACAAAATAACTGCAGCTGCACCGTGGTGAGAAAAGAGAGCCGTTGGAGGCGGGGCTAGCTTGGTGCAATGGTTAGGAGCGCGGACTCTAATCGGGGAGAACCGGGTTTGATTCCCCACTCCTCCTCCACATGCAGCTACTGGTGTGACCTTGGGTCAGTCACAAGTTCTCTCTGAGCTGTTCTCTCAGGAGCAGTTCTGGAAAGAGCTCCCTCAGCCCCACCCACCTCACAGGGTGTCTGTTGTGGGGAGGGGAAGGGAAGGGAGATTGTAAGCCGCTCTGAGACTCCTTCAGGTAGTGAAGGGCGGGGTATAAATCCAATCTCCTCCTCCTCCTCCTCCTCATCCTCTTCTTCTGCCGAGGCAGTGAAGCCACTGCTGGGGGCAACCTGGTGGGGAGGGGAACGATGTGCGGCCAGGGCTCAGCTCCCACCCACAGCACGTGTGTGCCTAGCATGAAGGTGGAGCCCAGGAGGCGGTTCTTGCTGGCAGCAATAAATATCCCTCTCCCTGTACCTACCAATTCTATGCCAATTATACAGTAAACGTTATTGTAATTTACAAGCTTGCATCTGATAGTCTCAATTTGACATTTTAAATTCTGGTGCACTTTAATAAAATGATATATTTTAAAAGTCCACGTGGCATTCAGTGTGGCATCCAGTGTGGCTGAATTCGGGACTAGTGAGCCAGTTTGGCTTAGTGGTTAAGAGCGGCAGACTCTAATCTGGAGAACTGAGTTTGGTTCCCCCCCCCCTCCTCCACATGCAGCCAACTGGGTGACCTTGGGTCAGTCACAGCTCCCTCTGAACTCTCTCAGCCCCACCTATCTCACAAGGGGGCTGTTGTAGGGAGAGGAAGGAAGGTGATTATAAGCCGCTCTGAGACTCCTTTGGGTAGAGACAACGGGGTATCAAAACCGACTCTTCTTCTTCTAGTGCCCCCGTGTTGGATTGTAAATGGTTACTGTCTAGTAACTGACACTCCTCCCCTGCCTGATGGTGCCGGGGACGTTGGTTCCATCAGTGCAGCCACAGGCCCCTCCGGTCCTGCCTGCTAATACCAGGAGGTCCTGAGCTCCCTCTTGTAGTGGCAGAACAGCGCTAAGAGATTTGCTGTCTTTCTCCTTATGTGGGCCACAGCATGCTTTGATCAGGTGCCTGTCATTTATTTAAGGAGATGGGAAATTTCTTCTTTGTGGAAAATTTTTCACAAAAGAAAAACTACCTTTGGCTCCGCAGCCTTTCTACTCTTTTCCATTTCAAAGGAGAGGCAAACTAACTAAACACTTCCAATTTTAAAATGTATTAAGAGGAGCCCTTCGACTGATGAATATATTTTGCTTGGAGGAACAGAGGGCGTGTTGCAGAGCGGGGTGTAGTTGGGGGTTTTATCCAAAATTATTACCTAATATAGTTGTCACCTTCTGTTTGGTGTAGTGGTTAAGTGCGCAGACTCTAATCTGGGAGAACTGGGTTTGATTCCCCACTCCTCCACTTGCACCTGCTGGATGACCTTGGGCAACCCACAGATCTTCGTCATGGTCTCTGTGCAGTCCCACACAGGGGTTGGGCGCCTGCACATGACCTCGATCAGAGAACCTTCTAGAGCTTGCCTCAGGAACCTTTTTTGGCGCATGCCTGGAGCGGGGGAGAGAGCCGCCTCCCACTCAGTTCTTCTTCGACCGCTTTCGTGTTCACACCTTGCTAGGGTAGCTCTTCAAATCGCCTCAGCTGAGTACTCCTCTTCTGATTTCTTCTCATTATTTTGTCTTATTTCTCCTGGGGGGAAAAAGTCTTTTACTATTTTTTCCTCACTTTCGTTTCCTCCGCGCACGCCCCCCCTTTTGGCCGAGGAGGTGTTTGTATGGGATGCACAAAATTTTTAAAGAAGTGTTGCTGTTGCCCAGCCAAACTTCCATCCAACGATGGCCACGATCTTTGTTTGTTTTGTCTGGGCGAGCTTCACAGGGTTGATTCCTGTCCCCATTGCGCAAACTTCACCCATCAGGCACGGAGAAATAGGGCGACCCGGCTTTGAATGTCTCTCCTTGAGGCCGCTTTGCGCCCTATGATGTCTTCAGTCGCATCCCAGTCTTCTGCTCCGCACAAACACTTCGACAATGCAAAACCCTTAAAACATACGTCTAAAAAGCACGAAGAAAACCCCCCATCCAAGCTGAAATTGAAGCCCTCGACGTCAACGTTGGCTCCGAAGCTCGATCCCGTGGTGATCTCTGGTCTCTCGACATCGACTCCAGTGGTATCTTCTGCAGCCCTGCCTTCACATCAGCCTAGCCTTCAGCCTCTGCCGCCACCGCCTACCTTGTCCTCACCGTCAGGGCGTATTCCAACGGGTCAGTGTTCAAAGTCGCTTGTCCAGCGCTCTTCCTCTCATCGTGGTGCTTGATCTCATTCCCGAGACTCCCATATGCCTATCTACCTTTTGGATGACAGGGAGCATTTCATGCTAAGTCAATCCAAGTCGAGGTCCCGCTATACTCACAGACCGCACCATTACCATCGAGATCGGCATCCGATTATAGATCCTGGTCTCCGGATGTTAGGCACTGTAGAGTGTATTACCCTCGCTCTTACTCCAGGTCTTCTACCCCTTGCCGAGATCGTTATGACTGGTTTAGATAGACTGACTGCTACAGAAGCCGGCCAACTTTGTCCTATTCCAGGCGGTCCCACCCGGTAGCCTCGGTCCATTCTCTGGGGCTTGATCAGCCTCCAGATGTATTGATGTCAGCGGATGCCCCGAAGCTTTCTCCATTAGAACCTCGGTATCGCCCTTCTGCTCATGACCAAACACCTATTGATGTCTCTCAACCGCTTTGATCACCTTCTCCAGTCTCGGTATCTGACCATTCTGTGTCTGGTGATCTTGACCCTGATATCCTTCCTATCGAAGACGAGACCCGTCATTCGGGTTCCATCTCTCCCATCGAGGGCCCAAAAGCCTATTTAGAGCTTGTTATGCGTATGGCTACAGCTCTTCAAGTGCAAAGTTCTACTGAAACTCCTGCAGTGACCAATGTCATTCATAGGTTAGTGCAAGCGGATTTGCCACCTTCGACAATTCTCCCGCTACTTCTGGACCAGCTTTTGGTCCTCAAGGAGTCTTGGGAACATCCTGCCTCTGTCACTTCGATATCGAGATGGTATGATGGCCTTTATAAAGTTCAAGAATCTTCTGGAAAATTCTTGTTCAGTCAGCCTCCACCGAACTCGATGATAGTTCATTCCTCTTCTAAGTCCAAACAACCTGTTCAACAGTCCACTCCTCCCGACCGTGTGGTACAGAAGATTGATGCTATTGTCAAGAAAACTTACTCCATCACATCCATGAACGTTAGAATTGATACCTATCCATCATACCTTTCCACCCATTTATGCCTTTAATGTTGCCACTGTTGTTCGTCTGGTTCTTGAATTTGTCCCAGAGGAACATCACCTTGAAAAAGAGCAGTTTCTGTCAGAGCTCTCTCAGCCCAACCTACCTCACAGGGTGTCTGTTGTGGAGAGGAGAAGGGAAAGGAGTTTGTAAACCGCTCTGAGACACCTTTGGGTAGTGAAGGGCGGGGTATAAATCCAATCTCCTCTTCTTCTTCTTCTTCTGTGGCGCAGAGATAAGAAACCCTAGAATGCATGCCAACTGTTGAATTACTGGCCATCCATTGCTCTGCTACAGGTAAACACATTTCCTGGCACTCACCAGTGTTTTTAGAAAATGTGTGTGTGTGGGGGGGGGCTTTTGCCCAGCAAGGATTTTGATTGGCCACTAGAGATTTGATTGGCTGTGCAGCTTTTAAAAAACATTGCTTTGGTAGCAGCAGCCACCACAGCACAAGCATCTTCACTTGGCCACTGAAGATAAGCTGTGGCAGCCATTTTGTGGTTGACTCCACCTTCCACGGTAGCCATTTTGTGCCTGCACCCACCAGGCTGTGTCAGAATCCCAGAGGTGCCCGCCACCTCAAAAAAATGGGGGACCCTTGATCTACTAGACTTCTTGCTGGGAAAAGACTGAGCAGAAACCATTCAAAGCGTGCTTGGTGCTGGAGATATTGTGGCAGTAGTTGGCAATGACGTTTGACTCCTGTGCTGAGGCAGGAGACGGTGAGTCATGCAAACAATTGAACTGAGAGCCCTTTTCTGTGGAAATTTCAGGTTATGGGGCCATGCCACAGATGTCTCGTTATCTGTATCGATCAGCAAACCGGACAACGCAACAAGGAATTTCTTCAGAGTCTGGCTTCTACCAAAAATAGAAAGGTCAGCTTAAAATATCCTGTGGCGGGGAGAAGAGTGACTAGATGTTGTAGTAGCCCCCTTTCCCTTGTGCCCCCTTTCCCTCCTGTGATGGATCACCTACAGCCTTGCCCAATTTAAATCATCATCGTCCACAAAAAAGAAGCAGCAGCAGCACAGTTCTAATTATATTTCTCTCCTGTGCTGTCCCAGGGAAGACAGTATTTACAGATGTCCAAGCAGTGATGCGAAACATCAGCATACAGCAAGTTCCTCTTTCCTTCTAACATCCCCTCTCCCTAGCGTCCTCTCAGCTGTGGTTTCCTGAGAGGATATAGAGCTCCTGAAAGGAATGTTCAGACCTTGGCCTCCTTTTCAGGGTCTCTGGGCTACATTCTCAGGGAGCACGGGGGCAGCCTGTTTTCTGTTTAGTTGGGCCCCTGGAGCTTCACCATTGGCTCCCTCATACGCCACTCGGAGGCCAGCTCTGCCCTCGTTCTCAGGCTCCGCCCCCTGCATCGCAGGCTGACCAACCTCGTCCATTATGCATAGGAGTGACTCAGCAGTCAGCCAGTCCTTCAGTGGACGCTCCCCGTGAATTTCAAGGCAGCTTCTGCTGCATCCGACTCCCTGGGTTAGCTTAGGCTTTCCTTCTCAACCTCAAGTGCCTGCTGAGCTTTGAGGCATGAGGTGGACACCCATAAATCCTGAGCCTGCTGGGAGATTATAGCAAAAACTTTAGATTCCCCGGGGACTGTTTTAACTAGCGAATGGTGGGGTCATCTGTTGGGTCAAGAACCCGAAAAGGTAAGTCAAACTGAGTAGAGGACCAACAATTAAAACGTAATCTATAAATAATACGTAAAAATACATGTATTTATTTGTAAAGAATAAAAAACATATAGGGGCCCAATCACACCTCATGTAAAAATTCCAGAATCATATATACACATATGTACAGCATGTATCCATGCTGTATAATTGTATTGTATGATGTATTGTGGTATAAGCCAATTTGTTCCTCATTGTGTTTGATCTCTGAAGGAGGACCTAACAAGCCAAAACACGTCAGGTCAAGTCCATTGGCTTTTGTGTCTATATGATTTTTGAATTTTTTCATGAGGTGTGATTGGGCCCCTATGTGTCTTTTATTCTTTACAAATAAATACATGTATTGACACAGAGAGGACTCCCTCTTTCTGTGTTATACCTCTGAGGATGCCAGTCTCAGCTACTGGCGAAATGTCAGGTCCTACAATGCCAAGACTGCGGCCACCCCAAACGTCAGGTCCTACAATGCCAAGACCACGGCCATACAACCCGGAAAATCTACAGCAACCAATGAACTCCAGCCGTGAAAGCCTTCGACAACATATTAAATACATGTATTTGTACATATTATTTATAGATTAAGTTCTAATTGCTGGCCCTCTACTCAGTTTGACTTACCTTTTCAGGTTCTTGATCCTAGTTTTCAGGGTTAAGTTTGTTTCCCCTTTTTGTTCATAAGGGTCACCAGTTGGGTCATAAGTCAGTCATCAAGGGTGTCCCTTAATCAGTTGCAGAATTGAATGGAACTGGATGAAATCCACAAGTGCATCTGGCTGGGTGGAGACACAACCGTGCCACTCTCTTTTCATAAACCACTTAGGGGGGAAAACCCCACAGGATTGCATTCTTGGAGCTTTTAGGGTATAACTGTTTGTGGTCTATGTGAGTGAGATTTGAGCCCAGTAGCTCCTTAAAGACAACCATATTTCCAAGATCTAAGCATTTGGGTGATTCCGCACTAGACCTTAAATCCTGGTTCAGCCCTGTCCCCAAACCTACATTCTACACCACACTCGAGTTCACCCCCGTAATTATCTCGGGGTATTTTTTGTTTCCACATTACATTGAAGTCACCCCGGTTTCGCCCCTCACTTGTCCTGGGATAAACGGATGCTGTTACAACCAGGGCTAAATGCAAGGTATTGTGTCGTGAGTTGAACTCTGATAAAACCAGGGAAGAGTTCCAAGTGCGGAAAGGACCTTTGAGAGTCAAAACTCCCTTCATCAGATATCTGGCAGCTCTGATATAAGCTTTTGAGAGTCAAAGCTTATACCCGACCTGAATCTCACTCTTCTACTGTTGACCAACACAGCTACCCAAATGAAATGGTGGTCTAGATGATATTCCTTCATGAAGAATTTTGGGTCGCCATGCTTGGCTTGGCGTGGACAAAAGAAGAACTTGGTGTCCCCGAGCTCACACAGAAGGCCATTTTTCCACATGCTGAACAACTCATATGTGGTCGAATCCTGCTTAGCTTTCGTAGGATGATGTGGATTACCAGATGCCCTCCAGGGTACTTTGCGTTTCTACTTGAGCTCCCTGACAACCTTGATACTAGATTGTTAGGATTCAGAGCCTTGGAAACCAGCCTCAGTATCCTTCTGCCTGGTTCTTCCAGTGATGTGGTCTCTGAAGCTAGCTTCTGAACCGCCAATTCTGCCCATTTTCCTGGTTGCTCAGCCTACATATTTTTAAATAAGAACATAACATGAGGAAAACTGTGCTGGATTGGACCAAAGGCCCATCAAGTCCAGCCGACCAGCTGCTTCTGGGATGCCCACAAACAGGAGGGCTGCAACAGCACGCCCCCTCCCCTGCTCCCCAGCCACGGGTACAAAGACGCATTCCACCTCTGGCCCTGGAGGGAGTAGAGAGCCAGCATGGCTAGTAGCCATTGATAGCCCCGTCATCCATGAATTCATCCACTCCCCTTTTAAAGCTTTGCCAGCAAAACCAAAATCAAAATGCCTGTAGGTTGTAGTGGTTAAGTGCGCGGACTCTAATCTGGGAGAACCGGGTTTGATTCCCCACTCCTCCACATGCGGCTGCTGGTGTGACCTTGGGCAACCCGTAGTTCTGATAAGAGCTGTCCTTGAAAAAGAGCCATTTCTGTCAGAGCTCTCTCAGCCCCACCTCCCTCCCAGGGTGTCTGTTGTGGGGAGGGGAAGGGAAAGGAGAGTTTGTAAGCCGCTCTGAGACTCCCTTGGGTAGTGAAGGGCGGGGTATAAACCCAATCTCCTCCTCCTCCTCCTCCTTCTTCTATACCAGCCTTTTATTTTGCCCAGGCCTCATTGGTACTGGATAATATCTAAATCCCACCGTTACCATGTCCATCTCACCCCGCTGATGTAGTCAAGCCCACATCTTTCTACACACGTAACTATGCCCTTAAAAGGGCACTTTAATGTGACATTATCTTCAGCACCGCAGATGAGTAGCAGCCTCTCCCAGTGTCCTTGCGAGGGTTTATGTGGGTGTATCCAGCAGAGGGCTTTGCCACGGCGCATGCTTCGGTTGCAGAAGCAGCATGGTACTTGGTTCCTGCCTTTGATTAAGAGTGATGAGGGAGCTGATAGCGCACCCACCCTGCTGACATCACGGCTCACAGCACAGCATCCTGCTTAGTTTTCAGATTCTTCTGGGTAGTTAAAATGCCCTTGAAGTCAGCAAGGAAATAGGTGTGCAATGCAATGCTATGCTACGTTTACTCAGGAGTAAATCTCATTGAGCTTAAAGCTGTGTGAACTTTCTCTTTTCCTCATCTTTTTGGTTTTGCACCTTGTTGGCGTAAACGTCTTTGTTTCACTCATTTTTTCAATTGCTGGTCTTCATGAGTCCATCAGTTTCTTTTACTGCAGTTTTTTCGTTGCGTGGTTTTTATGCCATCAATATGCAAACAATACAGAAACAGAAAAAGATTGATGGTAAGGTTTTGGTCAAATGTTGTTTCTGGGGCCGGGGGGGGGGGGGGGGAGCTACTGTGATTTCGTCCCAAATGGGGAGGAACTATAGTTCATAGTGTCATAGAATCATAGAGTTGGAAGGGACCTCCAGAGTCATCTAGTACAGCCCCCTACACAGTGCAGGAGATTCACAAATACCTCCCCCCATACGCCCCCAGTGGCTGCTGTTCCACGCCCAGAAGATGACTCCAGGATCCCCAGCCAAACCAGCCTGGAGAAAAATTGCTTCCTGACCCCAAAGTGGCGATCAGCATTTCCCTGGTCGTGTAAGAAAGGGCCACGAGAACTAAAGCACTGAGGCAACCCTGCCTGCCCTCCCTCTCTTGCGGAAAAGCCAAACATGTGGCATCAGCCCCCAGCTGAGTCCAGTGGGTGGCAATAACTCTGCAAGGCACAGTATCAAAGGATATTTAGAATACGGGTGGATGTCAGTAGGCCAGCTCTTCTGATTCAGGCCATGCCCATTTTCCAGGCCGTGCTTGGCTGAGCCCCCCACAGCCCACGGAGGGATCCCGTCTTTTGTGCTCACTGTGGCTCTGGGCCCCCGTTGGCCTTCCTTGCAAACTCATTAAAGAAGCAATGGAAGTATCATGAGCTCTGCCAATAAAGCACTTGGCAATTTGTCTTCTGCAGGTGACGCTAAAACATTCATGAAAACAAAAGCTTGGGAAGACCACTTGCTGACTTCCTAACGTTGAATAATTCACAATTTAAATCTCTTTTTGAACACTTCCTTGCATTCTTTCTCTCTCTCTCTCTACACATGAACCTCAAACACGCCATGTAAGTGAAGATACTGGAATGGTCATTTGACTCCCTGGAAGGAAGACATTTTAACGTAAAGCAATGCTTCATCTATTCTTGATTTGACAGCTCTGCACCTTACACAATTCAGGCTGTATCGTGAGAAAATCTAGTTCCTGAGATAGGTATAAATTGTGAGAAGCAAATGGGCATAATCTGTTGACATTTTTGCAAGTCAAAGAGGCCCTGACATTCGGACCCCACCATTAGAATCTTCTTTATGTAGCCACCCTTTGAGTTTTCTGCAAACACATGAAACACATTTTTTTAAAAAACCCAAAATTATGTAAAATTAAAGTGGAGATACTCAGGACGCGGTGTTCAGAGACCAGCACTGCATTCTGTGCAGTCACTGCAGGCTGTTCCACATTCTCATCTTCTGCATTTGTGTGGCCCCATTACTTTGGTTTTTTTCTTTTCTTTTCCGCACGTTTTGCTTCCTTTAGTGGTCAATTCGATATTACATTGCTGTATGCCTGGCATATTTCCCTGCAGATTTAAACTGTAGTTTTTTATTCCAGACATACCGCGATGTAATAGCAAGTTGACCAGTAGAGGGAGCAAAACACATGCAGAAAAGAAAAAACAACAACAAAGCAATAGGGACACACAAGCGAGGAAAATGAGAATGCAGAAGAGCCCTATGATTCCACAGTACACGAAAGATGAACTCAACAGGAAAAAAGGTTCCAGGCCTCCAAATGGCACCAATGTTTTTATCTGTTTTTTACTACCCTGAGATGATATAATATTGGAATTCTGTTTCTCCATCAAAAAATCATGTAGTTGTTACATCATCATGATTGTGCAGTCTGTTGGATATTTGACGTTATAAATATTCTAAGGTTGTTTTCTTTTCCAGACTAACTTTGGAATCTACCTGATGAATCATCCTGAAAGACCACTTTCCATTCTGAGTACCTTGTCAGTGGGATCTCAAGTACTTGCAGTGGAGAAGAACATCGCACATTCACTGTCCCCTGAAGAGCAACAATCAGGGTGACTTCAGGTCACATCTATTCTGATGTGCCTTTGCAGTCTGAGTCACTAATTGGGGCTAATAAAGCTATATAATTCTTCCAAATCTTTATTGTCAATTCATTTGGCCTGGGAACAAGATGGCACAGAGGGATTATGTTAAATAGTAAATGAAAAGTTGTGGATGGGTTGAAATGGTTAACTGCTTGACTTGGATTTTCAGCTGACGGCATAAAGTTGGGCAAGGGGAAGGCATGGACGGTAAAGAATGGTGAGTGTGGAAACTGCAAACACTCCATGAAATTGCTATCCATTTCAGGTGCTCAAAGAGAAGAATAATAATGTGCTGGATGCACAGTGGTGAGATTCCCCTGTAAGTAAAGAGGATGGACTGGTTTTTTAAGCTCTTGCATTTGCTGGCTTGAAGTTATCATGTGACTGAACAACTGTCACGGGCTGGGCTGGGCTGGGCTGAGAGGCAGGAGTCCGGTCTGGTCCGAGGTCGTAGCCAGGAAAGTCGGAGTGAGAGCCAAATTGCGAGTCCGAGAGAGTGGTCGTCCGAAGCAGGGGTCAGGAAGCCAGGAGATCCGAACAAGAGCGGGGTCTGAGAACAGGAGCCGGAAGTGGGTGCAAGGTCCACACGGAGGTGACTTGTTGCTTCCACGGGGAGCCTGATCCCGAGTAGGAGCTATGCAGCCCTCTGGCCGTGCTTCTTGTGGCGGCGGCGCCACTCGTGCTAGTGCTCAGGATTTGGCGCTCGCCTTCCCTGCCAGTGTGCATCCCGGCAGCAGGTGGATAAGTCCCTGCGGAGCCACTCCCTCAGCCGAGCCACCCACGGAGGTGAGTCAGGCAGGCTTCCCAGTTGCACCTGTACCTCATCGGCTGCCGCAGGACCAGGTGTGGGGGGTTACAGGCTTGGGCGCTGATGGGAGCAAGCTGTCATCTCCCGAGGAGTCAGAGGGGAGCCAGCTTCTGGCTCTGGCACTGCCGGCGGCTCTGACTGTGCTGCCAACTCAGGTGGGTGCCTGGCGCTGTTGCCGTCGCCCGTGACAACAGCTGCCCGAAATTTCACCACACACGAAGTAGTTTGTGTATCTCTGAGTAACCAAGATGATTTCACTTCTGAAGAGACAAAGTCCTGATTAAATAATGGCGAGATCAGTTCAGCTCTTAGAACTGAAAATCTGGGGCAGTCAAAAAAATATGATTCTGTTGTTGCCACAGTTAACAGAGTCTATATGAATATGGAATTCCATTGAATCTTCTTCACATCACTGTTGAAGGCAGGGCACGCAAGCATGAATGCCCTTCTGTGCTTTGGAAGAGTTTGCTAGGATAGATAGTTTGGCATTTTTGTTGGAGGGAGAATGCCTGTTGAGAAAGCTGAGCACACTCTGTGGGCTCTGATCAACCTACTCTCATCATCAAAGTCCCTCAGGTGTTTTCTAATGAACTGAGTCAATTCTTGTTTACTCTTTGTTCCTGTCACATAATGGGTAATGTAATGCCCAAACGTGATAATTTGTGATCCAGCTGCGGTGGCTCAAGTGGTTAAGATGCTGAGCTGCACACTTAACCACTGCACCAAACCTGCACCACTGAGCCTGCCAACAGAGGTGGAGGTAGGTGTGTTGTCTGTACGTATGCACTCAGCTCTTCTGGGTTTTTTTGGGGGGGAGGCAACTTCCTCAGTGTATTTTGTAAAGTTTTCGGATTTTTCTGCAAGCCTACGGAGTCCCCCAGGTGTACAGAACTATCAGTTTTTAGTCAATGTGGGCCCAATCTGTGGATTTACGTATCCACAGATGAGTGCGCATTTGGCCATTAGAATACAAGGGTATATGAGAGCCTTAGATGGGGCCCTCCCAGACCAGAGCCAAGGTATCCTGAGCAATGTTCCCTCTAAGCTGAGTTAGTGTGAGCTAGCTCACACTAACTCAGCTTAGAGGGAACACTGATCCTGAGCCCAGCCTTCTGTTTCCATCAGAGGCCAACTGGATAGCTCTACAAGCATGCCAACAGATCATGAAGGGAGGGCCATTTCAAGGAGCTTTGCAGGCCTGTAGCCAGGATTTGGTGGCTTGTGGGGCAATTTTTTTTTCTGGCGGGGCTGAAGTCCTCCATGCAGAAAGAAAAGCCATGTAGCCAACAGAAAGCTGTTAATTGGATAGATCTCTAAATTGCAAGCTGTCATCCACTTTAGATGACAGTTCTCAGCCGCTGCAAGTTAATCACTTCTGCCAGCCTAAGCAACAGTTCTGAGAACAAGCCAGCAGGTGGGGGTGATGACTTCTGTAGTCAAGAAAGCTAATTCTTAGGCAGAAAAACTCTCTTCAAGGAGACCAGTTTCTTGACAGAGTTCAAAGGGATCCTAGAGGTCACCTATTCCAACCCCCTTGCGCAGTGCGGGAATTTGTCAACTACAGCACTCTGCTTAAAGGAGAGCACGCCTTTTCAAAAATATTTTCAAATGACTGGAAAAAAGCATTTACAGGAGACATTCTCGTGGGGCTGTGCCTTTAAGAAAGGGGGCAGAGCCCCCAAAAGCCCCAGTGTTGCTACGGGCCTGGTGCTTTGTCACCCAAAGCTGGCCACTCCCATCTCCTCATGGGCCTACGTTGCCATGGGCCAAGTTCCATGTGGAGTCTCTGTGTTGCAGGGGCTGGCCAGCAGCATCAGGGGCCCAGGGCAGAAGCCAGTCCCTTCCCCTGCTGCTGATAGCTGGCAGCCAGCCCCCACCCCTGCAGTGCAGAGCCTCTCCCCTTACTGTGCGGTCCCAAGGAGCTGCTGGGCTGGTCTAGCAGAAGAACTGGCCTTGCATCAAGACGACAGTCCTCCCATCCTACAAAAAGCAGCCGCCCTCGACTACTGTGTGCTCGGGTTGGGGAAGTCCCTGGAGATTTTGGCGGGTGGAGCGTAATCGTTCTCCACTTCCTCCAATAACGTCTTCGAGTCACCAGGATTTGGCACGGTCTCCTTCCTCCTCGGCCCAGCTTGAGACAGGAATCCCAGCACCCTCTGGGCTGACCTCCTCCAGCACCCCGGGAATCGACTTCCCATCCTTCCCCCTGCAGCTCTTTCATTAGTTTTGTGTTCAGCCGAACTGAACTGTCCTCTGTGCGCAGGCAGTCTGTCGTAAACGGTGTGCGTGGGGGGAGTTACCCTATATAAATGCAGACTTTGAATAATTCAATTTGTATAATTTTGGTAATTGATACTCGTAATGAGCAAGAGAGAAACGTTGCACTGCCGTTTCCTGCTATCAAAATCCTTAAGTGCTTCCTCCTATAATTTCTAAGCATGCCATAAAAATAACACTTTCGTTTGTTTACCAGCGTACTTGTGGGAAATGTGGCGTTCAGCAGCCGGCTGTTTTGTGACCTTGAAGGGAACCTGGGCACCCCTCCGGGCCTTATTTAGATGTCGTGCAGGGGTAAGGAGCAATCAGGACGGTGGGGGCAGCTCTTGAATGGTATGCTGTTTTAAGCACCCCCCCCCCCCCCGGTGTGTTACAGTTTTAAAGTTCGTGTCTAAGACAGTGTTTTCCAACTTGTGGGTCAGGACTCCAAAGCGGGTCACGAAGCCTCTGAAAGTGGGTCATTGGCCAGCCCTCGCTAGTGGTCACCCCCCCCCCCTTTCCATTGTTCTCTTTTGTATGTTGGAGACCAAGATCTGGCCCTGGAAACTGTCTCTTCCATGTCATACGTTAGTGGTTATTTTTTCTTTGCTGCATGTACATGTTGATCAAATAAAACATGTCCTGATGGTTTGTGTAGTTGTGTAAGTAGCCAGTTTGGTGTACTGGTTAGGAGTGTGGACTCTAATCTGAGAGAACCAGATTTGATTCCCCCACGCATCCAGATGCAGCTGCTGGTGTGACCTTGTGTTGGAGTTTCAAGTTGGTTACACTTCAGTCATTACAGAGTTAAATGTTGTTTGTTAGGAAACAGGATGTTACGTTACATAATGTATTCTACAGCGGGAAAGTTTGAGGGAGTTGCTTAGCCTAATGAAGTGACCTGTAACCTTTGTATTGGTCAACTAACAACTTGTTTGTGGAAATGCTTTGATCTAGCATTCATGTATTCACAAGCTTAATGGCTGTGTGAAACAGACAGGAAGCTCCTCTCTTGAAGCTGACAGAAAGATAGAAAGATGTGCAAAAGCCCCCCCCCCCCCCCCCCCCGGTGTTTTACAGTTTTAAAGTTCGTGTCTAAGACAGTGTTTTCCAACTTGTGGGTCAGGACTCCAAAGCGGGTCACGAAGCCTCTGAAAGTGGGTCATTGGCCAGCCCTCGCTAGTGGTCACCCCCCCCCCCTTTCCATTGTTCTCTTTTGTATTTTGGAGACCAAGATCTGGCCCTGGAAACTGTCTCTTCCACGTCATACGTTAGTGGTTATTTTTTCTTTGCTGCATGTACATGTTGATCAAATAAAACATGTCCTGATGGTTTGTGTAGTTGTGTAAGTACTCCTTTGGGTAGTGAAGGGTGAGGTATAAATCCAATCTCCTCCTCCTCCTTCTTCCTAGAGTAAGTTTATTATTATCTTAAGGGGGAGGACATTGGAAGGAGTAATGGAGCAGGAGAGGGCAGCCAAGGGCTGAAATGGAACCTCCATATGCCAAGGCTGCCTGTGTCAGAGTGGCATTTGCTTGGGGGCAGCTGTGCCCTCTGAGCTTTGTTTGTTGGTTTCTCCAAAACATCTGGTTGGCCACTGCAAAAAACAGAATGCTGAACTCAGTGGGTGCTAAATTTAACATTTGGTTTTAACTATGTTGTGTTTTACACTGTTGTTACCCACCCTGAGCCCGCCCGCGGGGAGGGTAGAATATAAATCCAGATAGGTAGGTAGGTAGGTAGGTAGGTAGATAGAATAGATAGATAGATAGATAGATAGATAGATAGATAGATAGATAGATAGATAGATAGATAGATAGATAGATAGGCTAGGGAGCAAAAAAACCCCTCCAGCCAGCCCTAGACGGGTCTCCATAACTAAGTGAATTTGGACTTGTGGGTCACCATACCGAAAAGGTTGGAAGCTGCTGGTCTAAGGACTCTTGTTTGTTAGAGCCAATCCA